ATAATAATAAATAGAACCTCACAGAATCAGAACCTGCCACAGAGTTATGCACTAAGTAAATACTAATAGGTATTTTATTATTCCTCATGGCACATTCCTCAAGATTTAATGATTTTGATTCCAGACATATAACCTTCATGGAAACAGGGATTGTGTTTCATACTAACAGCTGTGCCCCTTACACCTAGCACAATGGCTGGTACATCAAAAACAAACCCACTGCCATCCAGTCAATTCTGACTCATAGTGACCCTACAAAACACAACTACGGAGTAGAACTGCCCCATAGGGTTTCCAAGGCTGTAAATCTTTACAGAAGCTGACTGCTTCATCTTTCTCCTGTAGAGCAGCTGGTGGGTTCGAACTACTGACCTTCTGGTTAGCAGCTGAATGCCTTAACCACTGTGCCACCAGGACTCCTCTAGGAATAATAACCAGGGCAAAATTATCATCACAAGACAAATAACAAGCAAGGGCTATCTGTGGGGTCTTTGGCTGGAGCAGCAGGATGGATTGCAATACAGTCAACTGACATGAGGACATTGACACCACAGTTGTACCTTCCTGAGGAAGCCATCCAGTCCCCTAAGTAAATATGTTGTTCATGCCACACGTAGGAATCCAGAGGCCTCATTTGATAAATGTGGGAACAAAGGCTCAGAGAGGGCAGTGACTTGCTCAGGCCACACAGTGAATTAGGCCCAAGTCTTCTGGCTTCTAGGATAAGGTTCCTTTAAGCCCTCATTGATATAAAACCTTTTAATATGAGAATGGAGAGAAAGAGGCGCTGAGAGAGGAGGAGGGTAAGAAGGAGGAAGACAGGGAGGTGTCAAATCAGGTGCTCATTGACAGGCAGGGGCATTGACAGGTGGTGGGACAACCAGAGACCTTGGAGGGTGGGCAGAAGAGTCTGTGGGGGAAGGGGGAGCTGGAGGCTGGGGCCTGGCTGGGTTATTTTCAGAGCTGCTATCTTTGTCTGCATCTGCTAAATTATTAAACTGAGATCACATTGTAGAGGGTGCCAGGCCAGGTTGCCAGGAAGAGACTGAAAGGGAGGGGCTAGATCTCTTAGCAGAGGCCTCGAATCTTCCAGGCTGGGAGGGAAGCAGACTCCTCAGGCCTTGATCCCACCCCCCACCTCACTCTCAGCCCATGGAGAATCCTGCTTGGTGCCACAGCCATGCTCACCTCCCCTCCGCAGGCTGTCTCTGCTGGCCACTATCCTGAATAGGAGGGATATATGGTGGGCAGGACTCTGGAACCTGATCCTGTCTGGTCGCCTCTTCTCTTTCAGGGTCTTTGACTCAGAGCACAGGCCTTTAATCAAGCAGATATGGGTCAACCCCATGTCCAGCCGATGAAACTTCAGACAAGACCTGGCATATCTCTGAGTTTTGTGTCTTTGTCTGTGTCATAGGTATTAGCAGTTCCATTTCTCAGATGAGGACCCTGAGGCTCAGAGAGGCAAAGTACCTTTAAAGGGGTTACACAGCTTTTAGGAAAGGGCTAAACTTCGACTCAAATCCAAGTTTCTGATTCCAGACCCTTTTCCTCTCTATATTCTCCTTTATATTTTACTATGTTCTCTATTTCCCAGCCTTTCTAGGAAGGGAAGGTATAACTTTTATAAAGATTAGAAAAAAACACAGTCATCATTATAGCTTAAAAAGGCATCCCCCAATTCCAAATGCTGTGTTTGCTGGGCTGGCTGTGCACTGAGTGTTTGGTTGAGGCCCCTGACCTCTCTGCTCCTGGGAGTGTGGAGCTCAGGCCAATTAAGAAAGCTGACAGATACCAAACCTCTCTCACCTCTGGTCCTTTGAACATGTTTTTTCCTTCATGAAACCTTCTCTCTCACTGCTCCCCACCATCTCTGCAGCACTCACTTTTTTTTTTTAATTTTTATTTTTATTGTGATTTGGGTGAAAATTTACAGAGCAAATACATTTTCCGTACAGCAGATCACATACACTTTGTCTCATGACATTGACCACTATTTAGCACAATGCAACATCTCCTCTCCCACTTCCTCCCGACAGGTACTGCTTCCCTGTGACCATCCCTCCATGCACTCCTACCCCCTGAGCTGTCTCCCTGTGCAGCACTCTCTTTTGAGTAGTCCTTCAGGTCTCAGTTTAAATATCACCTCCTCCAAGATACCCTCCCTGATTCTTTTCCTACCAATCTGGGCTCAGCACCTGCTCTGCGTCCCCTCAGCCCCTGTGCTTCCCCCATCTCAGTAGGCACCACTCTGAACCACAATCTCCCATCTGTATCAACCCTAGACTGTGTGGCCCCCAAAGACAGGGTTCCATCTAATCATTGCAATGCCTCCAGCAGCCAGTCCAGCAGAGGAGGTAATGGTCAAATTTATTGAATGAGTGTAAAAAAAGAAAAAGAATAAATAAGTAAATGGAAAAGGGGCCTTCTCCATTCTCAATAAGCACTACCCTTGTGTTATTTTTCAATTCAAACAAACCTTTATTGATGCCTGTATGCACAAGCACTCTGCTTAACTCCAGGGAATCATAATGAGCAAAACCACTCTAAGGGATTATCTGTTAAACAATAAACACATATACATATATACCTGTGACTTGTAAAAAAATGCCATGGAGGATAGGGACAGGGAACATTGTTAGAGAATAATATGGAGATCAAAGATGACTTTGGGGTGGATCAGATCTATGTTTGATTCCTTGCTTGGCAACTTACCTGCTGTGTGACCTTGGATAAGCGACTTTTCTTATCTGAGCTTTGATTTCTCATCAGGAAGAAAAGGATGCTGATGTCCCTCTCTTAGGGCTGATGTGAAGGAATAGAGAACATTCATTCATTTGATAAATCTATGTCAAGTATCTCCTACCACTCAGAAAATGACTTGTCCAAGGTCACCAAGATGGGCCGCATGTGTGGGATTTGAACGCCGGGTCTGGCAGGTTCGCTGCCAGAGAAGAGTGGGAGAGGTAAATCCTGGTCTTGTTCGCGCGTCCTTCTCTCAGGAGTCAGGAGCAGTGATCTGCCTGACGCACACAAAGCACCTGTCAGTTTCCCTGCTGTGATGGGGAGGGGGCTCCCGCTCTGAGGAAGACGCGAGGTTTGATGACACAAAACCAAAACCTACTGCCGCTGAGCTGATTCCAACTCATACTGACCCTGTAGAACAGAGGAGAATGATCCACAGGCTTCCAAGGCTGTAAATCTTTACAAAAGCAGGTGTCTTTCTTCCGCAAAGCAGCTGGTGGGTTCAAACTGCCAGCCTCTCAGTTAGCAGCCAAATGCCTAACCACTATGTCACCAGAACCCATCTGGTGACACAAAGGAGACCTTCAAAGGGATGCCATCATTCAACAGGGCATTCTTCTCCACTGGGGACAACCTGAAAACCTCTGAGCCTCCCTCCCCCTCACTGAGCCTGACTCCCTAAGTACCCCTCCCCCTCACAAATCCCCCTTCTCCCACTGAGTGCCTCCTTCCACACCTCTGCTCCCATAAGCCCCAACCCCCTCACTGAGCCCCACTCCCTCATTGAGCCCTGCTCCCTCAGTGAACCCCTCCTTCCCCTCCATGGAGCCACCACTACTCCCAGACACTCAGCACTTGTTCCTCTCATTTGCTCCCTCACGCCCTTTATCCAAGCTGTCCTCCCTTCCCCTTCACCAAGCCTGGCACCTCCTCATAGTGCCTACCCCAGCCCCTTCTGAGCTGCCTCTCAGGAATGGAGCTGCCTCGCCCACACTCACGAGTCCTTGTCACTCACTCTAAAACACCTGAAAGCACCTAGAGACCATGGCAGGGGGTGGCGCTCTGTTCTTATCTCCTCTACATCAGTGAGTTCAGATCTGACATCAGCCTCCTCTTCAGGCTGGGACATTGGTCACAGTGGCCACACCTACAGCAGGTCCTCCAGGGTCCAGAGTCTGTTGCAGATCTACCTGGTTACCTCAAAGCTATTTTCTGGCCCTCTCGCCCCTGCTCCTACCTACCACAAACATCCTCTCTCCCTAGAAGGAAACTGAGGCAGGGCCTTGGTGTCTGGGCCAGTGTTGGGAGGGGGTATGGCAGGGTAACTTCTACTGCAGGGAAAAGTGGACAGGCATTTTGCCTGGATGACCAAAGTCCCAGGTATGGAGGGTCTCTCCGCAGAGGGGAGGAGACCCAGGTATCAAAGCACCACACTACTCCTTTGGCCTCCCTCTCTGTGTAAAAGGTACGCGAGAACCTGCCGGGACAGCAACAGTGAAAAAGTCCGAAAGAGTGCGTGGAGTTCCAGGCTTCTGGGGGTGGGGGGCGGCACAAGGTTGCGAGAGCCGCCCCAAGCTCAGCCGCAGCACTGCAACGAAGGGTGTGCCTGGCCTACACCAAACCCAGTCGGATTCCCATGCTGTCCCGCCGGGACTCCAGTCTTTCCTCTGCATTAATTCCTCCACTGCCCCGGCGAGATGGGAGAAAGGGGTCCTGGCGAGTTTTGTGGCCCAGAAGACCAGGCAGGACAGATTCGGCCAGGGGTAGCACGCGGTACGAGGATGAGCACTGCGCAGAGTCAGACCTCCTGAGTTCTAATCCAAGCTCTCACTGCTCCACAGTGTGACCTCTAGTGAGACTCTCTCTAGTGAGGACTGGATTTCGTGATTCCTAAGCACAAGCTACCAGAGTTTATGATTTTGGGGGCCAGACTAGGAAATATAGGGTCCCCTTTCCACCTAAAATTTAGATAACTTAGAGAGCCACAGCCATCGAAGGGCAACGGACTTGAGGGCTATGGGGAACAGCTTGAATGGGCGGGGCGGGGCCAGGGCATGCCAGTCTCTCATTGGCTGCGCTGTCCATCGCTCCCGCCCTTGCTTTATAAGAGGCACCCGCGGCCCGCGCGGCGCGGCGCTGGTGCGTAGGTTGCTGCTGTCTCTCGTGCGGCTTGTGCACAGCGTCCACCCTCCCGTGCGCGGGGGTAGCCGACCTGACTCGCTGACAGACAGCCGCAGACCGCCGGGGGGCGGGGGATGCCGGGCTGCCGCATCAGCGCCTGCGGCCCGGGGGCCCAGGAAGGGACGGCCGAGCCGGGGTCCCCGCCGCCGCCCCGGGAGCCCTTGCCATCCCCTCAGCCCCCGCCCCCAACTCCGACCTTGACTCCGGCTCCCGCCCCGCCAGAGGCGGTCCCGGAGTCGGCGCGTGCGACCGAGGGGCAGGAACTGCA